CCCTTCTCCATGTCCCCTGTGGTGGGTGAGTGCAGGGACTTGTTCCTCCTCTGGCTGGCTGGCACTTTGGGTCTCTGGGGGGTGATGTGGGAGCAGAGGGAGGAGTTTGGCTGCTGGGCTGCCCATTTGTGATCATATCCTTCTGTATTGGGCAAGTGGTCAGCAGAAGATCAGATAAGACACTCTTCTGCAGGAGAGAGATGAGCAGTTGACGTGCCCCTGAGGTCTCCTGTGCCAGGCTGAGATAGCACCACGTGGGTCCTCCTGGCCCACCAGACCTCCTGGGCCTGTACCAGCAGTGATGGCAGAGGGGATCACTTCAGGCAAAGGTGGAGGGGTGAAGCCCAAGTTCTCCCAGGAGCTGTCTCTCTAACCAATCACTCACTTGGTGTCTAAGATTAGCTCCTTCTGGCAGCTCCAGCAGATGCAGCTGGTGGGTAAATTTAGATCCTTATTGAATGGGTTATTTTCTCTCCTGGAGCATCCAGGTCAGTGCAGAGTCACTGGGCTTTGCCATGGGAGTCACTCCCTGGGAGGTGGGTGACTCTGTGTGTCCTCCTGGGCAGCCAAGGACCTGAGCTGGGTCACCCACAGAGACAGAGCCCTTGGTCTCAGCAGCTCAGGGTGGCTTCTGCCCTGTGAGGACACCTGGGTGGAAGAGGAGAGGTGAATTTTACCCTGGAAGGAAGGAAGCACATCATGTCATTGCTGTTTTGGTGGCAAAGAGTAAACCTGAACAAAGGGAGATGTCAGGAAACATCTACCAAAGGTCCAGCAGCAGAGCTGTGTTGAAAAGGGGTGGACTTGGCAGCTGGAAAGGGTTTGGAGATGCAACTGGGGCTGCCACCAAGGAACAATACCTACCCTTGCTTCCAACACTTCTGATCAGGCTCCCAGAAATTAAATCAACACTGCTTCTGACTCCAGCTTGAGGTTTGATGGTAGTAGGCTTGGAAGAGCTCACCAGGATGAAGGTGGAGTCAAAATAAAGGTGGGGATGAATCGAGCTGCAGCCAAACCTCCAATCTGGTGGTGCCACTAGGGTGGGTTTCTGTTAAACTTAACAATATTCTGCCTCGTTATGAGGGGTGAGAGGTGAGGACCTCCAACCAGAACCTGGTGTCTCAGATGTGGCAGCAGGGCCTTGCCCAGGGTGTCACCTGCAACGCAGCCCCACCAGTGATGAGCAGCAGGCACCAGGGATGCCCCACGTTTATTCACTCCATAAATAAATGACACTTATCAGGGACTTCACAAAGGACTTTGGCAGAGCTGAAAGCTGGCAAGGAACCGATCCTGCTTCCTCCCCAGAGAAGCCAGAACACTCCAGCCCCAAGCATCTCCACCCCCATTGCAAAGTGGTCCAGATTCTGACCTCACCAGGCACTGGCAGAACTCAGACTATAAGGCCACTGAAAGTTACTCTGAAGTGCAAGAGAGCCAGAGCTCTTTCCCAGTTATGAAGCCACCTCTTCCCCAAGGCACCATTTATTCAGTGCACTCCCAAACTCTGCTTCTCCAAGGAGGTCACTGTGGGCTTCTCCTCTGCCACCAGGTCCCAGGTCACTGCCCTGCATTCAGGATCTTCCTCCTCTGGTTGCACACACGTGTGTGTGTGCTCGTTCAGGGCTTAGGATGAGTGCACCCTTGAGCAAAGGGATGGATGGATGGATGGAGAAGAGCAAGAGTTGGCTACAGCATCTTCTGTTCCTCAGCCACGGGCAGGAATGTGAGTTTAAACCTTTGTCCATGGCGTGTAAAACAAACAAAAAAATGCAAGTGGGATTTGGTTTGAGGCCCAGGACACCTCTCACAGCAGGATGGTCGTGGTGGCCACGTTGTACCCAGCAGTGGAGGATCCTTTGGGTCTGAGGGCCTGGGGACCGTGGAGTTGTGAGCCAGATGTTGTGCTCCTTCAGCGTGCCCCAGGTGACCCGTGTGTGATGCCTCCTGGCTGGGAGGCTGGCAGAGCTCCTGCACTCTCAGTGGCCATGCCTGAGGTTGGTGTTGTGGATGTTTTAGCACTGGTTGGCAGAGGTCCTTTTGCAGAGCTATCACTCTGCTGACAGTGGTGGGGAGACAATCACCCTTCAGGGTGATGTTCCTGGTCCTCCCTCCCCTTGCTACAGAGACTATTCTACTTCTTTGGTAGCCTCTTGGCAGGCAGAGACCGTGCTGAGCCCTTTTCACAGGCCTCACTGCACGACCATGGTGCTGAACTCTTCACAGGGATGTTGGCCACTTCTCCTGATGAAAGAAACGTGGGATGCTTGGCCTGGAGGAGACCTGGAGATGTTCTGCTCAGAGCAGGCTCAGCACCAGCTAATCGCTTGTTTATATTTGCCTGGCTCACCCCAAACCCTCAAGCTGTGGGATTTGGAGAGTCTCAGGGCTACAGGTCCTTCAGGAGAGCAGAGTGCTGGTGGACTGAGTGTTATGGGAAGCAGAGGGTGAAATCTCTATGTCAGAGGGTCAGAAGAATGATGGGGATGTCTCTTCCTGGCATTAAACAAGTGTCCCAAGGGCCTCCCTCAGCAGTCTGCCATGCACGGGGAGCCTGCAAACCACCCACGGTGTCCTAGAGAGTCTTTCCTGCAGCAAGAGGGTGACCTGAGCTCCCCAGGTGACTTCTACATGGGTGAGCTACAGCAGGAGTGCTTGGAGAGCTCTGGCCAGGTGGCTGGAAGGGAGACAAGGCTTTGGGACTAAGCCTGGTGATGCTTCCCTCTACTCTGGCTTTGCCTTGTCACTCTTCTCCTCCTCCACGGCCAGGATGCGCTCCCGCTCCTTGATCAGCTGCACCCCACAGTATGTGATGAACCAGATGGACAAGGTGCTGACAGGGAAACCTAGGAGACAGAGGGAGACATGGTCATTGGGAGGTCCCACAAGTTCATGATGGACAACGTTTCCCATACAGAGAATTTTCTAGACTCATAGTTGAGATGAAGTCTGTGAGCCCACCAAGGCATCACAGACTGAGGAAGAAGTTCTTCCCCAGGAGAGTGGTGAGACCCTGGCATGGGTTGCCCAGGGAGGGGGTTGAGGCCCCAGCCCTGGGGGTCTTTAAGGCCAGGCTGGAGGAGGCTCTGGGCAGCCTGATCTAGTGGGAGGTGTCCCTGCTCATGGCAGAGGGGTTGGAACTGGGGGATCCTTGTGGTCCCTTCCAACCCTGACAGATTCTGATCTGTTTTAGCAGAGGACTTGAGAGCCCTAATGGCTCAATGCTTGGACTTGATGATCTTGGAGGTCTAAATGATTCTATGACTCTCTGACTCTATGACTGCAGCTAAGGTGAGAACATGCTGGGGTGGCTTTGAGCACTGTCTCACCCCTGGAACTTCTTCTGGCCCCCACGTTCAGACTTGGTAGTTGACTTTCTGCCCATTCTGTCTCCCCTATAAGGTCTTTTGACTTTCTGTTGAGAGACCTTACAGCAGCCTTGCAGTGCTCAAAGGGGCCTACAGGTAAGCTGGGGGAGGACATTTCTTCAGGGGGTGCAGGGACAGGATGAGGGGTAACAGTTTTAAACTGAAAGAGGATGGATTTAGATTAGATGTAAGGAAGAAGTTCTTCACTGTGAGGGTGGTGAGACCCTGGCACAGGTTGCCCAGGGAAGCTGTGGATGCTCCATCCCTGGAGGTGTTCAAGGCCAGGTTGGATGGGGCTTGGAGCAACCTGCTCTAGTGGGAGGTGTCCTGCCCATGGCAGGGGGCTGGAACTGGATGATCTTTAAGGTCCTTTCCAACCCATTCTATGACTCAAGCTGCTCATGTCCATTGCTGTTCCCCATGGTGGCCTTCTGGAAGCTTTGTGCCCTGCTGATGCAGAGGACCAGCTCAGCTTTGTCCCATATCTAGCAGGGACACAGTGTGCACCCAAAAAAAACACCTTTGTCTTTTTTTTTTCCCCTAGTTAAGCAGCCAAGAGCAGCGAGCTCTCCATCCCCTGAGGAAGGCTCTGATGACTTCTGTAACCAGGAGCCTGGTATCCACAGCAGAGGGGAGACACAAGCTTAGTACCTGCTAAAACAGGACCTCTGAGATGAATAATGCCACCAGCAAAAGCCAGCTAGCTCAGCAGGCAGGCACTTCTGGCACCCTGAGCCTGGAGTGTCACATTATCCCCTTCCCACACCAGCCCTGTCCCAGGGGGGGCTGGAGGACGTGGACTCCTGATGGTTATTTATACCCTGGGCCACTCAAGACTTCAAAAGAGTGCCACCAGCCCCTGATTGCAGATGTACAAGGTAGGACTAGTGTGAGGGTGTGTACCTGTCACCTTCAGGTTGGGTCAGGAGGAACTGCTAAAGCAAAAGGAGTAAGAATTCTTCTGGGTAAGAATTAAGCAGCCACACAACAACCAAGGGTGGACCCAAGAGGACTTTAAAGTCCCAGTCATAGAACCATAGAACTGTTTAGGTTAAAAAAGACCTTGAAGATCAACTCCAACCATTACCAGCACTGCCAGCTCATCACTGACCCACGTCCCTCATCACCACATCTCCACATCTTCTAAATCCCTCCAGGGATGGGGTCTCCACCTCCTGCTCTAATGCCTGCCAAGCCTTTTTGGGGAGCAAAGGGTCCTCAGCTCCCCTACCAGTGTCCCCCCATCAAGACAAGGGTCCCTCAGTGGGGGAAGCTGGTGGCACCTTACCCGTCAGGAGGAGTCTCTTGGTCACCAGCAGTGCAAACTCCAGGCTGTTGAGGGCTGGGATGTTGTAGAGGACAATGGCCCAGAAATTCACTGCCCCAAAAACTGCCCTAATCCTTCGAGACATGCCCGCTGATATTTTGGCCTGTGGAGGGGAGGGGAGCAGAAAGTGAGTTAAAAATGGAGCTGTCAGGAAAGGAGATGTACTGCTCCAGCTCCAGCCCCACTCCAGCTGGGTCCCCCAGAGGGACAGGCAAAAAGCAGAGCAGCCTTGAGTGCCTCTGGGATGAAGAAACATGAGAAGAAGGTAAAACTTCTGCTCTGCTGCTGGGCTCGGATGCATTTGGGAGTCTGGACCAGTGTTTCGAGGTCCTGTGTGGAGGAGAAAGATGTCATACAAGGTTTCATGCTGGTAATGGCTGAGAACTCCTTCCTTCACCTGCTGCCTTGGCTTAACCATTCCTCAAGGCTGCTGTAGGTCAGGTTTATTATTAGCCCTACGTGCAAATCACTCCCTGCTCCTGGTGGAAAGTTTTTCTTGGGAATTATGAAAATAATTTAAAAAAGAGCTGAAAAGGAGTGAGAAGAGCAGAGTGAAATCATCACTGGCACATCATCCTCAGAAGAGCACAACGAATCCCCAGTGCTGAGAACTGTGGTGGCACAGGGAAGGAGATTTCACTGCCTGCAGCTGAAGTTCAGGGAGGAGAGCAAATGGTGGGATCATTCTGTGAAGTTTTTCTTCAAAAAGGGTCTTCATGGACCTGCTGTAGCACCTCCAGACTTGGGTTGGGCAAAAGCAATAAGCAACAGAATTGTTTCCAGGGTGGATTTTCTTAAGTTCTTCTTCTAACAAGTCCCTGAGGCACTTGGGTTCTATCAGAGAGAGGGTGCTGAGCTTTGGAATCGACTTCATCCTAGTACCTAAACATCTCCTTTTATCAGAAATTGGCTCAGAACCCATCAGAATGCCAAGATGGTTTGGAGAATAAGAACAACTCATCTCCCTGTGGAAATGTAGAACCCTTTCCCTGTGGACACACCTCAGATTTTGTGCCCACTGGGTCAGCTGTCCTGGTTCTCTTTGAAAGCTCCACACCCCAGCTTAAATTTCCCATGAAGCATCATAGGGGAAGGTGGGAACTTGCTCTGGGTGGAGGACACCAGGTGTAAAATGAAGGGATACAGAGCACCAGGATGGTGCTTCCCTTGCACAGCTGAGTCTCACAAGGATGCTAAAGGTCACAGGAGAGAACTTCAGGTCTCCAGGCAGGAGGCCTGGACACGGGGCAGCATGGCATCATCTGGGATGTTGCTCTTCAGTCTCAACTCAAAATGGATCTGGCTTGTATAAAGAAGTTTGAGCTCCCTACAGTTAGTTATGGATGTTCTCCAGCACCAGAGCTTGGCCCCGGCCCCACTGACCTTCCCCCAGCCACTCGCAGCCCAGCTCCTCACCTCCAGTTTGGCAAAGGGCTCCTGCTGGAAGAGCTTCTGCACCCAGAGCTCAAAGTTGAGGCCAAAGCAGTTGAGGACAGACCAGATGTAAACAATCTCACAGGGTCCCAGCCACAGGGTGGTGACGGCGAAGGTGGCGACGCTGGCCACCAGCTCCTTCAGGATGTTCTCATGGCTCTCTCCAATGTGGTCATACACGTACCTAACGGCCAAGGAGAGTGGTTGGTGCTGCCCCACAGCCAAGAAGACCCCTCTGGAGTCCCTTATCCCATGCCCACCACAACCTTCTCACAGAGCACCCCAAGGAGAGTGGTCGGTGCTGCCCCACAGCCAAGAAGACCTCTCTGGAGTCCCTTATCCCATGCCCACCACAACCTTCTCACAGAGCACCCCAAGGAGAGTGGTCGGTGCTGCCCCACAGCCAAGAAGACCCCTCTGGAGTCCCTTATCCCATGCCCACCACAACCTTCTCACAGAGCACCCCAGTTAAAATGGAAAGCTGCTTGGGTTGACCCGTTGAAGCAAGAACCTCATCTCCCACTGGAACCCAGCTGCCTCTCAGATCTACAGCTCCTCAAGGACCAAACCCCACCCTGTCCACCTCTTGCAGGTGAGGGCTTGGTAAAACCTGGAGATCTGTAGAGCTGTGGGCGACCTCAGCCTGGCTGGTGCAGAGGATTTCATCACAGAGCAGCCACCACCTTCAGTACAGGTTTGCTGGTCTGTACTCAAGGCAGAGGAGAGCTGAAGGGCTGAGGGAGATGTAGATGGAACTCAAACCACCCTCGTGACCCAGGATATGGGAGACCTGGGGTCAATTCCCCTTTCCTCTGGGTGGAATATGAACCTGACACTTCCTCCCTTGAGGAAACACGAAACCCACCAGGTTTAAAGGGATTTCTGGGACAGGTCTCTCTCATTTCCAACCGTGTGTGTGGGTTGATGCACTTTGTGGTGATTAATTCAATGGTCCTAGGGGTAAAGAGACCAAATACAACTTCATGCCATGGTGGGATTCACTCAGCAGAGAGGACATCTCAGCTTTGGGCTGAACAGCATCTAACGCTTCATTGCTAGGTGATGAAGGAGAAGACCTTGGACCAGACCAGAGAATTCCTTCAACCAGACCAGAGAAGACCTTGAACCAGACCAGAGAATTCCTTCAACCAAACCAGAGAAGACCTTGGACCAGACCAGAGAATTCTTTCAACCAAACCAGAGAAGACCTTGAACCAGACCAGAGAATTCCTTCAACCAAACCAGAGAAGACCTTGGACCAGACCAGAGAATTCCTTCAACCAAACCAGAGAAGACCTTGAACCAGACCAGAGACAGCTGATGGGACACTTACTTGCATAACCAGTCATTAATCCCTCTGTCGAAATGCCTAAAATGCAGATGATAAGAAGCAGGTTAAGACACGTGGCAGGATGAGACCCTTCCACCTTGCAGGATATCAAGTCCAACCCTTCCCCCCAGCCAGAGGAGGCACCCAACCCCTGGTGAGGTACAACCTGAACCTTTGTTCTCAGCACTTCTCCATGCTTCCTTCCTTCAGCAGGTCCCACTGTTGAGGTGGTTGCAACCTCTCTCCTTATCTCGTGCCCCCTGCCCAAGAACATCTCCCTGGGCTATGGCCAGGCCTAGGCTGTAGGTTGACTATGGACTGCTCAATAGTCTCCAACCCCTAGACCAGAAGCACACCCAGATGTCCTCCCCCTCCCCCATGCTCCATTCAGGTCCAACGTGCTGCCTCTCCCCCTGGGTGCCCGTGGGGTACTCACGTCTCGGAGAAGACGTAGAGCATGGTGATGCATTTGGGGGGCTGGGGTGGGTCCAAGTGGTCCAGTCTGGCGATGGTGTTGGTGACCCCAAACATGACAGCAGCTTTCACCCAGTCGTACACCAAATTGGAGTAGGCCAGGCCAGCTGGAGCAAGAACCAGAGTCAAGTGGGTGAAGAGGAACACGGAACGTGTCTCCTTCAGAACTCTGGGGGATGTCATGTCCCGTGGAGCTTGCAGTCTATTGCAACAAACATCACATCAAGAGGACAGTCTAAGGCTGTCTTGGACCAGCAAAGCTTTTCAAACTAGCTTCTCAAGAAGCTTCCTCTGCCTTGTCCATGGAAGGGCTGAATATGGCTGGTTTTGGAGGATCTATAACTCCTTTGGGTCTCTATCAGTGTTTGAACACTCAATGAAAAAAAACCTCCCTAGATGCAGTCAGGTCCTTGCTGGACCTTTTTTGCTGTGTCCTGCTTTGTCCCTGCCCACCTCTGAGAAGAGGAGGTTCTCTTCTTCTCCACAACCCTCCATTAGGCAGCTGAAGACAGCAGCTACCTCTTCCCTGAGCTGCCTCCTGTACAACCTGTGTCCTGGGGCCATTTCAGTGGCTCACAAACACCCCTAACTGGTGGCCACCTGTGAAAGCATCTGAGATACCAGCTCTACCTCTTGCAACAGCCTGGGGCTGATTTTCTGGAGGTGCTGAGCTCCCTTCCAGTCCAGACAAAGGCAAGGGGAATGGTTTGGTGCTCAACTTCTTAAGCTCCAAGCTAAACACTTCCCACTGAGACCCTGAGAGAACATCAGGCCAACACCATTTGCTTCACAGGGCTGCCCCAGCCCAGCCCTGTGCACTGTCAACAGGAAGAAGAGAAGCTTCACTCCAACCCATCCAAGACACGGGCTGCCAACGCCTCTCCAGGAGGACCACTGGAGGTCTGGGTGACACCCTTGAGGGTGAGTGCAGGTGAGAAGGTGTCTGAGCATGGTCACTCACCCAAGGACCAGTCCGAGAGGCGGTTCACGAACTTCAGGTCCGAAGGGAGGGTGAGGATGTAGAAGAAGTGGAAGAAGATGTCCACAGCCAGGACAGCCCCCATGTGGAGCAGGGCCTGGATCCGGATGTTCCTCATCTCGTCCTCTTTGCGTCTCAGCTCTCGGGTGCTCACCTGCCAGGAGAGCAAACCAGGGAAGGGCTGAGCTGGAAGACAGGGTGGGTCTGTCTTCCCAACCTGTTCCTCCATCCAGAGACACGGTTGAGGTCCAAATGGGCACTCAATGCTCTCCTCTGGAGACCACGTCGTGGGTGACGTGGGCCAGATCTCCACTGATTGAGGAGGACTCAGAGGACAAGCTGGGGTGAACACAGCCACGAGGAGGAGGACATGTGCATGCCCAGGAGATGCTGGGAGCAGGGCTGGGATCCCACCTGACATCCCTACCAGAGCCTGAGGTGGATTTTGGCCGGGTGGGAGGAGGAGGAGGATGACTGGAGGTCTCAGGAGCCTCTGCTGCAGACCCCTGCCGTGAAGGAGAAGAAGAACTGCTCGAGGGGCCATCCTGAACGGGCTGGGACCTGACTGATGGGGAGGTGACCTCTGCTGGGACCTGCACAGCCCGGGGCTGGGCTTTGCCTCCAGGAGCTGGCAGGTCTCTGGGCGTTGTATCTCCACACCAGCAGAGCAGGGGTTGGGGTGATGCTGGGCAGATGATGTCCTCGCTGCCCCCAATCTCCTGCTGTGGTCGAAATCCTCTTAGGTTTTGGACTCTCCCTTTATCCCCTGCGAGGTGGGAGCTCGCCCAGCCTAATCCTCAGGCTGCTGTGCCAGCCCTGCCAGCCAGGCCAGATGATGCCCCAGGATTAAAGCCTTTGGCAGAGGGGTTTTTTTTCGTGTCAAAGTGCTTCAAGGCTACAAAGAGGCTGCTGGACCCCGAGGTGGAGGAGAAGCTGAGGGGGGACAGGCAGGAGGACATGCAGCCCCCCCCCTTGCATAGTCATTGAGGTTGGAAAAGACCTTTAAGATCAAGTCCAACCCTTCCCCCAGCACTGCCAGGTCCTCACTGCCCCGTGTCCCTCACCCCACATCTCCACAGCTTGGGAACCCCTCCAGGGGTGGGGACTCCACCACTGCCCTGGGTCAGGCCTGGACAATCCTTCTGGGGAAGAAATCGTTCCTCCTGCCCAACCTAAACCTCTCCATGAATTGCTGTTGGGCAATTAGGACTTCACCTCTGCAATTAGCTGCAGCTCCAGCAGTGCAGGGGGGCATCTAGCCAGGAGATGGCAGTGGTGGCCAGGCCAAGGCAGGACCCCGGGCCGGGGCATGGAAAAGGGGTTGGGGACTTTCTCCTGGTGCCTTGGGGTGGGAGTTTTAGGCTGCAGAAGGGGAGATGGTTCACTAAGTGGCTGGAGAGGTTTGGGGCAGGAAATAACCCCATCTCCAGATGAAGCTTTGTAGGAATGGTGGGAGCTCAGGTCTTGGAGACCTGAGGAGTTTCATGGCCTGGTTAGGAGAAGCCAGGGCTGCCCATTTCATAGGGAAGACTGATGGAAACAGAGGATGGAAGAAGAACGTGGGGTGAGGCGGGCACCCCAGGGCACTGTACCCCCTCTGGAGGGGCCTGGATGGTGGGGCTGCTGCAGCCACGCTCCCCTGGACTTCTGCCCAACAGATAAGACACGACTGAAAAGATGGAACCCTAGGATGAAGCATTTCTTCCATCATGCTGGGGAGAAGAGCCCACCAGCAGCTTGACCATCCCTGGGGCTTGTGTGCTGAGCATGGGCTGCTGGAGGACTCAAGGCACCACAAGGATCCCTTATGGGGTGCAGCAGAGCTGACCTCAGGACCTTCAGGGTCAGATGCTCTACAGCCCATTTCAAATGGGTCCTTTCCACGTGCAGCAGGAGGTTGTTGAGTCCCAGGTGAAGGAACCAGCAAGGAGCAGGACTCAGATCAAGGCTCATCCTGCTCATGGGGGGAAAGAAGCCACCAGCAGCAGCCCAGTGCTGGAGAGGAGGTGCTGGGCTGGGTGGGGCTTTGGTCTCCTCCTCCCCAAGGAGGTTCTGGCTGCTCTCCCCTGCCCTGGCTTTGTCTTCTGAATTCACAAGTCTTCTCCCAAAATGCTTTTGCACCCAGATGTCAGTCGGGGTCCAAAATGTCAACGTAGCTGCTCTGAGGGGTGGTGACAATCCTCCCCAGGCCCACTGCTGGCCAGGCAGGAGGTCCTTCCTTCAGCAAGCAGTTCCAGTGTGCTCCCATGACCACGGCTGAGCACTGGTGTAAGAGGATGCTGGGGTGGGAAGAGTGAGGAGGGAACAGTGCTGGTTGGGTTGATCTTTGGCCATGAAGCAGCCCCAGAGGTCATCTGGTCCCAGCCCAGGCTTCTGCTGAAGTGTCCAGTGCTGTTTGGAGTCTGCTCTTCAAAAAGCTCCCTTGGGAGTGTGTGGTACAGGCAAAGACTTGGGGCACCAGAGCATTTCATGGAGACCAGAGGAAGCCCCTGGTTGCTCAACAGCTTTCCACCTGATCTTACTTCTTTCTAGAGGACTAGTTTCATCCTAAGACCCACAGAGCACCCCTGGAGATGCACGTTCCTTGGGTCAACCAGCTGGGTGGGAATGAGACTGCCCTTGCTGTCACAGCCACCAGCAGACAGGTCCCATGGATGGCCACCAGATGCCTGGCTCTCACTGTGGCCTCCCAGCACCAGCGTGGAGCTGCTGGGGTGGCAGCACGTGGAAGATGAGGCCCAGTTGAGCTGAACCCTCCCCTCCTCACCAGAACAACCTGTTCCCTTCTGAGCCAGCCAGCTCAAACCACCCAAACCCAACAGGGAAGGTTAAAAACCCATCAACTGATGCCCCTCCCCACAGAAATCACAGCAACCTTGCACATCCCAGCCTCTAGGTGACCACGAGAAGCTCTACAACAACTTGCACCTTCTCTGTGATGAGTCTGTAGGCATCAAAGCCAAGCAAATAAAGGCAGGGGGACATCAGGGATGAGTGCTGGGGCCAGTCCTGTTTAACA